CCTATAGGATATATGGCAAAAATGCAATGCATGATTTCTAAAAGTTTTTTTTGTTGAAAATTCAAAGAATAAATATTTCATATTTCTAATTTTTTTATAGTAGTAGACAATATAAAGTTTTTATTGGTATAATTCATTTATCTTAAACACAGTAAACAGTACTTGATAAATTGAGTTTTCCTTATAGATGCGACGTAAGACTAATAATATCTATGATATAATAAATAATAATATGAGTGATACACGATGCAAATAATTTTTCTTGATCATGTCTTTTACAATCATTTGAAGAAAAGATCTAAACATTTCTTATGAATGTGATTATTGTTGGAAATGATTATTAAAAAACAGTAAAACAACGACACTTTGTTAAAAGATTTGAATAATAAGTTTCGGGTCTTACTATATGTGTGAATAATAAAATAAAACTACCCTCGTTTCAATACAGATGCAAATGTATATCAGAAAAAAAATCGAATAAAACTACGATATATATGATGTATTTAGTAAGAGTATATCACAGCTTGGAAAGGTGCTCGCAAATCTTTTCATCGATCGCATATTTCCGAGTTCTTATGCGTTTTGAAAAATTTTTTACTTTTTTTATCGTGCATTCGCAGTTTCCTCAAAAGATTATACACGCAACGAGGAGTGAAAAAGAAATCTGTCGCGTTTCGCAACGTTGAAAATGAGATATCAATGGAATATCGGCAATTTCCAAGTCATCTATTATTGGATACCTCTCAGAAAGTTGTAACATCAACTCGACCCTCGACATGAAACACTAGATAATTATATCTCTTTGTTTTCTTCTAATTACTGCTGACTGAATTCCTGTCAAAATGTCTCATTGAAGCACGTTAGAATTAGACAAAAAGTATATATCTGAGTATACGTAACGTAATGTAACGTAATATCTTATGCAGGGATTCTCAAACTTCTTATTGACTAGTTTCGCAACACGTTCAATATTAAGACACAAAGGAGAGATATAGGCGATACGTAAAATAATTTAATGCCAGAAGCAGTTCGACACATAAACCTTTATACAAAATTACTCGTCTCTTTTATTCCTCAACGTTTCCCGATCTCTCTATTTGACCTTCTCTCCTTTAATTAATTACATGTAACGTTTTGTTACGTCTCGTCTGATGAGATTATTTTCTTTACGGCTCATAAAGTGCCACTTTCACATCTGTCGAGCCCTTAAATCTTTCTTCTAGCATTCGTCTAGTGCGAGACGCACGCGTGTGCCGAATCATCTACGTTACTCACATTCCTCCTTCGTGATGGCCATTTTCTCTATGAACATCTGGCCGCGCTATCGACTATCCTGTTTACACAAAAATCTGTAATTTTCGTCCGGATTCGAACAATCGACTCGACGCGGAAGCGATCGCTCCAGAAAAATGCGATGGAAGACAAATCGGAGAACAACCGGCCGAACAACGCACGTCCCGGTTCCGACGACTTCGTAACCGAGGGGACTGCTCCGTTGGTTGGAAACCCCGACGAGGGTCTTCAGAAACCTGGCACTGGACCAACGAGAGGCTGGCTGGACGTTATATTTAGTAGCGTCCGAGGAACAGCGGCGGGCCCGATGAAACGGGTAGGGATATGCCGCCAAAATGCGAAATCGTGTTTGTGCCGAACTAATTATTGTATATCGAGCCACGCGACGCTTCACGAAACGTCTGTTTATTTACGCGTGAGTGGATGTTGTTACGTACCTTCATTTTATCTTAGGATTTTCAGATTTTAAATTAAAACCTTTAAATTAAAACTCTCTCAAAGAGTTTCTTTCATTCTTAAACAAAGTTTCTTGACACCTAACACAAGATGTAAACTTCTATTTTGCAATTTGTGTTTGTGACCTGTTACTCTCTAAATCTCATAGAGTGGTTTCGCCACTAATATATTAGACATTAGAGCACGGAAAAAAAGGTTTTGCTGCAACAGCAAATCTATTTGTTAAATATAGGACAACTAATATATATTTTTTGCTGCGTGAGCTAATTAATTTTGCAATAATAGCAAACTATTATTGCTATTATTGCAAAATTACATAGCTCTCGCAGCAAAAAATGTTGTCCGTATAGTAGCAAATCCTTTTTTTCTGTGAGTGATTGCAATAGTCACTCCAAAAGAGAGGATTGTCATTCTAATTGAGTAAATGCGGGCACTTATATAAAATAGAGGTAAATTTTTCATTCAAATTTTTAAAGCAGTTACTCTACCAGAGTGATACGATCTCATTCTAAAGCTATTAGTGAATCATGATTTACTAAAGATCGACTGATAAATGCTCTGACAGAGTGAAATTTTCTACTCAAAATTGTAGAGTGACATAATTTATTCCTATGGACACTGATCTACTGCACTCAAAAAGAATGCCCTTTCATTCAAATAGAGTGCGATTTCACTCCAACTTATAAAGCGCAATTTTACTCTTTCTTAGAGTGATGGCAAATTACTCGAAATGCACAAGCTCAATTTTCACTTGTCGTTACACTTGCATTTCATTCGTTATGAGTGATATTTCACTCTTCAACTTTTAGAGAGTACATGTGATTAAAACTTTCTCAACTTTTTCCAAAATATCTCAATCTAAATGAATCGTCTTTTTTTCGCATATATCGGCTCTGACTCAATTAATATATTTTCTCAGAGAAAGTATATTAAAATCTGTTGTCACTGTCGCATTAATTACTATTATTTAGTAATTACCATGCATCACGCATCCCAGTTGGTTATTATTTTAATAAATTTCCGCCCTTCTTAATAAGCGAAAATCCGTCTCAAGCGTAAATTGTCAGTTCTCGTCTGTCGTTCACGGTAAACACACTTTAACTCGGCATATGAGCATTGTTGCGACATTACTTGCCAAGTGTATCGTTGCCTTAATAAAATTCAATCAACTGCATCTCGCTGACGCTGTAAACGTAAACACGATTCTTAATTTTGGCAACGCAGTTTTACGCTATCTGATCGTGCTTTTGCAGTAAAAAAAATAATGACTCTAAATCTCATAGTGATTTCGCCACTATAATATGTTAGAGTATAAATTGCAATAGTCACTCCAAAAAAGAGGGTTATCACTCTAATTTGAGTAAATGTACGTGACTCATAAGATAAAAGTGAATTTTTCACTCAAATTTTTGGAGCCGCTATACTCTATCGCAGAGTAATACGACCTCATTCTAAAGCTATGATGAATCACGATTCACTAAAAATTGACTGATAAATGACTCTAACAGAGTGAAATATTCTACTCAAAATTGTAGAGTGACATAATTCACTCCTATGGACACTGATTTACTGCACTCAAAAAGAGTGCCCTTTCACTCAAATGGTGCGATTTCACTCCAACGTATAGAGTAAAATTTTACTTTTTTTTATGGTGGCGAATTACTCGAAGTGCATAGGCTTAAATTTCACTTTTTGTTGCACTTGCATTTCACTCGTTTTGAGTGATAATTTCGACTTTTAGAGAGTACATTCAGCGGAAAAAACAGTTCGGTGAGCGACCAATGATTCTTTATTACAATTGATTTCTATACCAATAGATCCAGCGAAGAACTAAGGTCAAGAATCAATCATAAGAATCACTAAGCGCTTACTACACTAAGCTATTTTTTCCGTTGAATGTAGTCAATGTAAAGCCAATCTTATCACACAATAGTTTACAGTTTCCGAATTTTTAGAAAACATTATTGGATATATAATAAGAATAAATTTTTTGCATAAACACACATATCTGTTATTAAAATTGTTTGTAAATCCAAAATTAAATTATGTCTTACCTAATCTATTTATATCTAACGTAATCTACCTTAATCTAAATTTTTTAAATCACTGTGTATTAAGGAGGGTGATTAGTCAAATCAATTTGATAAGAATTAGTTAAAATTTATGGAGAATATTCGTCTATGGGAATCTGTCGTCCATGCCAAAGTTGAAGACAATCGTCTGCATGGTTGTCGAATAATTAATTATTAAAGTTATACTCTTGTCTCTCTTATACACGGGCGACACAGCATAAATGTTACCTAACCTGTAATGTAACTCTCGAAAGCATATTAAAAATGATGAGAATTTAGTGAAAATATAGGTACAAATAACTCTTTACATATTTAAGAAGAACTTTTTGGAAGACTGAAATGATTCGTCTTTATAGTTATCAAGAAATTGTAAAAATAAAACAGGACCACATTTATTATTTCCACATTTCAATGTGGATAATAACGTATTTGGGTTTTAATTGTACAAACAACTCTTTTTAAACTTTAAGAAACAGCAATTAAATGCATTCTACATATTTATTTGCTAAAATTCGTTTATTTCACGCGACGAAAATCTAACCTATATGCTTTTTCCCTGCCGCGCGCCGCCTCCCCGCACGGAGAGCTAACCAACCTCCTTAATATATATGTTGAATTAATAATATTAATAATGTTTAATTAATTTTGTCTTTTTGACATTTGTGTTCTGTTTTTTATCAATAATTAATTCGAGCAGCTATAGATACATGACATTTGAACTTTATTTACAGCGTTTAAAGTGCTGCAGTGACATTTAAATTTTATTTAGAGCATTTAAAAATCATCCTTATTGCGTTTCCAAGTCACTGAAATTTAATTAATTAATTAATTAATTAATTAATTAGTCCCTTAATTAATTAGTTCGCTATTTTAATATTCGATGCAATGTTTGTAACAATAAGTTGTTTCGCGCGAGGATTAAGGGATCAACTTAATTTATTAGAATATCGAAATTTTATCCATTGTGCATGAAAAAGCTTCTTAAGAATCATTAAAGATTGATATAACTTCGACAATATTACTTGGACTACTTAGGAGATATTACACGACCTTGAAATTCTAAAATATTGGGAAAAATAAACTGTAACGTATGATGGCAAACATCTCCAACTGAATCAATTGATAGTTGGTACATTGCTACGCTACAAAAAAAACAATACATTTCTTCTGTTTTCTTACCTTTTGGATTCAGTCTTTCAGGGTTAAACCATGCGTCTGTAAACAATACAATTAGAGAATATTAGTATTGAATTTCATCATTCAAACGTATAAAGTGCAAATGGTTACGGATTAAGAAAACCATACACAATACAGTGAATCTGTCAACAACTGATGTGAGACATTTGGCTGCAAAATCTATTAAGTAACAGAATTAGAATTTTTACGGTATGTGAAGTCTTCTTCTTGTTTAAATAAATTTTAAACATTTACGATTATTTTACTTTTGTCTTTTTCGGCTATTTATTTACTAATCAATATTTACAGAAGATATTATTATCAATAATCTAATATCTTTATTTTTCCTTTAAATAAATAAATAATCATGCTCGTACGTATTAAACAATTAATTGAAAAACGTCAATAAACAGCAACGATAGTTGTTAGTTAATTAGTTCAATGTATAATTTAATATATATAATAAATTACGTTTCGACTACACCGGGTCTTCTTCAGCCATATTTAATTAATATTATGACTGAAGAAAACTCGGTGTATATAGTCGAAACGTATCAATTTATTATTGTACAATATATTAAATTATACATTAAATTAATTAACTAACAACTATCGTTGCTCGTTTATTAGTCTTTTGCAATTAATTATTTTTCCTTTACTCTATTTGATGTCAAAAGGCGAAATTTCCAAAAATTTTACACTCAAATGCCTCAATTAATATAATCTCAAAGTGCTAACAGAGAAAAAGACAGATAATTAATTAAAGTTTTAAAGCGATTTCGATAAATTGCGACAGAATCATTTGCATGCATCTGAAGTTGTACAAGCGTTATAGATCAATTCTGTTAGCGTCCTTGGGATAACTGCAAGCGCTGAAAGGAAATGATAGAAACAAATTCAACACGGTATCAATGGATGCAACAAAGATTGCTTGTCTTTTCACAGCCACGTCCAAGATCGTGCAAATTATTATTTGTAAAAATTTGTTAATATCTTCGCGAGAGAAGAATTGTTCATTGTAAAAGAATAGTGCGAAAAATAAAAGATTAAACAAAACCGAGAAACGTAAAAGATTGTAATTTATATCACACACGATGTATTCTTGAGCTCATTTTTCAGGTTACGCTTCTATTAATAATCACGTAATAAATCGATACGGATGGAAGATGCTACTGCAGTGAAATAGTTGCATCGCTTCAAAGACTATCGAAGCACCGCAGTAGTTTCAAAACGAACAAATTTTATTACAGTACAGTCGAAACGTTCACATTATTTTCTTAACTATCGGGGAATAAACTATAAATCACTTCAATTATAACTCTCTTATTTGCGTTTTTCGGCAATGACCTTCTTATATTGCAAATAAATTATATTATTATCTATTTGTTAAATATAACGCTTCTCAATTATTTCGTCTAAAACAAATTCTGACGAATCTATCGTTAAATTATGTTTCTTAATAATCTATTGCCATTATCTGCTGTTATCATAATGGAAATAACTGGCTGCATTATTCTAGGAGTCTACAGACCCAGATAGCACAGTTGATCTTTATGAATTCATAAAGATCAGATTCAGATCTTTTTGGACTAATATTGGACCCGAGTTATTCATCCGACTCATAATTCTCCAAGTCAAACCATTCCTCGTTTTACTCCATAAGGGAACAAACGAAAGACAAACAAAGTAAGTACACGAGACAGGAAGGGGTCAAAGGAGTCAATACCCTTTCATTTAGATATTGTGTCGCACTCTATGTGTTAAGTGCATATAAATGTCTTTTATCATTTGCGCGTGCATCTTCCCCAAGTGTTAGAATAATATTGTGCAGTTCAAAAGCACGCAATTCGAACATGAGTCCTTTAAACAAAAAAGTATTTAAAGCTATATATTCCTAATATATTAGGCCTGTTCGTTTTAGCTGAACTTCTTACACGGTTCATCTTTCCTCTTTTTCTTTTCACGTTGGAAAGAAAAAAAGAAAAGATGAACCGTACAAGAAGTTTAGTTAAAACAAAGAGGCCTATTATCACAGTCTGCAAGGCAATAAGATATAATATCGAACGAAAAATATAGATCACTTGTCACTCAAGTGAGTAATTTTACTGAGCACTATGAGCCGTAATTGATAATGTCAGAAAGGCGCTCTATTGTTACTCTGAGTATCAATGCAGTAAGTGCAGATAAAGATTCGTTTGCCAGATGAAAATGCATAGGGTGTAGTGCTCGATAATGACGGAAATGTCATGATTTCCTTCAATGTTACATATATCCCGGCTTTATATATATACATATATCGCGTGGGAAATAATATCTCGAACTACACGCCAGCGCAAATTACATACACGCGCGCGTATCGCACGGAAAGTCAGGCCGAAGCAATCGATCGTGTGTGCACTGCGCAATATGACTCCTGTTGCCTTGAAACGGCGATACGTTACACGGTTCGCTTTGGAATCGAGGAAATCGCTTTTTCACGTTCGATGAAGAAGACAGCGCTGGAGTTTTACGATGCAAACACGGAAATAAGTTAAATGATAGGCGTTCGTTAAAAGTTGCCTTTGCAGTATATATTTTCAATATATTATGCATATATCACATATGTGCAGCGTGCACATATCACTAGCCTCGTACAGCGCGTCGTTATCGGACGCTTTGGTAAAGAACTTGTCTCTATTTGCAAAAATATTTTGTACTTTTTTCAATTTTTTTTAAAATTGTTAATTATTAACGCGCACTGTTATTCGCAATTAAAAATGCTACTTTAGTAAAATAATATAAAAAAGTTATTCGGCGATATATATATTTGCACATACAAGATGTTTCCTAAGTATAATAAGTACAAAAAATTGAAGGGGATATTCCGTGGTTTATTTTAGGGAGAAAAGTTCTTATAAACATATGCTCTAAACTGTTTCATTAAAATACAAGATGTCAAAGATGCACGCCTCTGGTGGATCTAAAAATGTTTCATCGGTACTGGAAAATGGATATTCTATATAATAAAGAAGGTGAGATTTCTCGTAAAAAATTAATTTACTTTTTTTGAAAGAAAATATATTAAATCCTTGACGCGAGCATTTTCCTTCCTAAGGTGTAGAGATAGATATAAGAATAGAATAACTAAATGAGTAAAATTATCGTTATCTTCTCGTCCTCCTATGTTAATTTGATAAAAGTAACGACAATGCAGTTATGCAATTTTCTCTTAGCAACCAATTGCCACCATGACACTTCAGACATCGACTGGATGACTTTAGGATAAAGTTCGAAAGTCAATTGTATGTACGTTGGTCACGGTTAGATCTCGTGGCGTTACGTAATGCAAGGTCGCGATGATAATTACTTCAAGTTGTAAAAAATCGTATCGCACCGCGCTGGCGTGTTGCAAAAGCAGAATTTCACCTGTTCGTCGGACAAGCGAATGCATTATAAAAACACAGTGAATTGTATTAATTTTATTAGTACATCGTGATAAAATATTATCAAGGAGTATTAATAATTAATATAATATAATCACAATGTAAAGCACTTGGTGTTTTGTATCTATCTTTTGTGCGGAGTAAAATTTCAAAAACCTTTTATATAAAACTTCTAACATTCGTTTGCAGTATTAACAATGTACGAAAGTATAATATCAATGTACAAAATGCGGCACTTTACATTTAAAAGCAGGTCTAATAAATTTATTTGTTGAGATATAATGCAATATTTATTTCATCAAAAGAATTAATTAAATTGGCACTAATTTAGTGTCAATAAAAGAAACAAAATAAGTTAATTGCTCCCTCCTCGTCATTCAGAATCGAATGTACACCCATTTTTGCCCAAAACGATGATCGTTTTTATAAGTATCGAGACTTTCGAGAAGACTTCGAGAGATGCGAGTATCGATTTAACATGCCTTTTTTTAGAAAGGATTGACATTTTCTACAGGCATTCCATCTACAATAAGAACCATAAGAACGAAATGAGCTTCGTGGACTCAACCCAAATGGGCAAATGAGTTCAATATAAACGCGAATAGTAGTGATGTTGGAACAAATGTTATTTGCAGGTAGTCGGCCGATCGATAACCCAGTTTCGATCGGAGATTCTCCGATATCTCGGGCAGGTAGCATCTGCGCAGGGCGAAGCCCAGGTCACCGACATGAAAGCGATCATCAACGAGGAATAATTAAAATCTGCCTGCAATCCAATTTCACCTTTCGACAAAGAGACACCATGATAGATCTCGCCAGCAGCGGGGGGACGTGTTTTCCCTAATATCGTTCGGGAGTAGAATAAAACATGTATATAATTTTTACAAATTAGAGCTCCGAGTATTGAACGTGCTCGCGAGGGGGATGATGGAGGTGACCGAGAAGGGAAAAAAAAGAAAATTATCCTTGAAATGGAGGTGCGGAATGTCGAGTTAAGTGTCGAGAAAAACCTACGAGGGTTCAGAATATTCCAGAAGCAGGGACTGCCGTTGGTCGTCGACGCAGGGCTGTTGGCGCCGGCGCTGGGCCGCTTGCAGACCTGGTTGCCCTCATCGACATTCTTAGCAAGCGCGGGGCACGTTGCTGTGTCCAAGTCCGCCATCCTTACGCACACCTATGGCCGAGGTCCTCGCGCGACGCGCACCTCTCTCACTGTTCGCCGAGCTGAGTGTTCACCGCCGCCGGTTCGGAGTATTCTCTCTTTGGCGTGTCAGCGCGCCTGGCGAACGTTCGCGGAAGCGATGGCGTATCTCGTCGCGCGCGCGCGCGCGTGTGCTGAATGACGCACTTCGACAACGACGACGGCGACGACGGCAAAAGTAACAACGGTGCCGAGGATGACGATGACGACGACGACAACGACGACGACGAGGGCGTAACCCCGTTTATTGTTTCTGGAGATGAGAACGAATCCGCGGCGAAGAGGAGCGTGTTCGACTTTTGAGAATTCACACAACTAACCGGTATTTCGGAGTTGAGAACTGGGGAGAATCCCTAATCCGTAACTCGTCGCACAGCGAGATGAGGACTGAGGCCTGTTATCGACCCACCGGAGGT